CATAACATAAACGATTGATAATTAACAAACATTCGTAAAGTTCATTATTCTCATCAATAACAGGATGATCCCAAGATTTCTTTAATAAACGATAATCTTCAATAGCTTGAAAAAAATGCGTTACTTTCAGTTGTCGAATAAATGCTTCCATTTCCTGATTGTCTTCTGCAACCATTTGTTGTTTTTCACTTAATATATTAAATTGTACTAATTCATCCAAATCGACACCAACTTCCAATATTTGGCGTGCACCATCTAACTGTTCATGAGAATATGGTGCCAGAATATTCAGCTGATCAATAAAATAATGTTGACAGGAATACTGACGTAATTGTTGACAAGCAAATTTAATCCATGCATGCGCTATTTGACGTGGATCATTTATCACACTTAAATCCTGAGTTTCACACATCCACAAGACGGTTGTTTTGACAAAATATGATGGAATTATTACTGGAACAACCTTTAGATACCTGAGATAAAAAGATCTTTAACCAGTTTGAATTTAGGACATGTGTGAAGTGTCGACATCTATTATTAATATTTTCCCCTAGTTTGTCCATGGACTTGGACAAGGTAGTAGTTCAACAAAGCCTCAAAATGGTCTAACTAGTTATATAAGGTCAGAATCTTCTAAAACGTTCAAATCTTAGTTTACAAGAAAGCTTGTCAGCATTGCCCTATCGGTCAAAAAATCTGAAAACTAGTCTAAAGATAAAATTAACGCCAGTTTATAAAATATGATTTAATGAAACACGATAATTATAAATAATTATAGTTTTGAAAGGCGCACATTTTTATATATTTTTTAAATCTTATACCTCTATGGTTCCTGGGAAATCAAAAGATTTGATCAATGACTGTCTATGTGATATAATAAAAATATTTTCTCAATGACCTTACACTATTTTGCCATTAGATAGGCGAAATTATTGTGCATCTACACCTGTCATCAGTATGTTATAAACGAAGGAGAGTAAAAACCAATGATCGAAAGATAAAAGAAAAACTTGATTTTTCAAAAACATCATGATCTGTAAAAGTGTTATAGTTCCATGAACAAAGCTTGCCACAAGAGCTCGCTGTCAGAAAAACATCCTTACACTCTGCACTAAACACTTTATATTAAAAAGATTACAGTTCTGAGAGAACAATTTATTTTTTTCTTTTCAATGTCAAGATTCTTAGTGCAAATGAGATGTGCTTATTTTATAAAAAACATTCACTCCAAGTGAGTTGACAAAAGTTATTTCACTTGTCATTCACTTTATGTAGATGTATTTTGTGCCATTTTTATCTGATGCACTGCAAATGAATGAACTGAAAAACATTGAAGAGAAATCTTGTTTGTAACACCGAAAATTCAAGCATTTTATGATGTGTTTTTTTCCAGGTGTTCTTGATCTCGGAAAGAGTGACAAGCAGAACTAAGTGAGTCTACGTCATGACTCGGATTTGGTATTAATATTTTTTTGAGAACTCACTGACGAACTCAAAGTCGAAACTTATGAAAGCGTGACGGTTTTAGAGCGGTTATAGAACTTTTCCTATGGTATCCCATAGCGCCAGTCGTCCCATGTCCTAGTAGTTAGATAGTATTCTAGTCCATAAGTTGTTAAATATGGCATAGAATGACCTTTTATTCACTTTATACATATGTTTTTCTTTTCTGTAAACACAAAACTTTTATAGCTGTATCTTTTTTTTCACTTTTTCTCTCAAGTGGACGAACATTCTTCTTTTATACAATATTATGTCATTCTTCCAGATCATTCTCTTTTAGTTCTTATTTTTATAGATATATACTTAAACTGTTTCATAGTTAGTTAGTTCTAACAGTTAGTCACTCAGTCGAGCGATCCTGAATAGAAGGGCTCCCCACATAGCAGGCCTCCATAGAAAATTCATTTGCTTTGCCATTATGAAAGACCCCAGGCCTTTTGTTTAGGGGGGGGGGGAGTATTTAAATAAGTGGGACTATCTCTTAAATCACGCTGTTAGATTGTGCTTGTCTAAATCTATCAAATAGTACGATTTAGAAGCTGGACCATGGAAATAAGTGAATCTGGATAGAAAATACTAAGATTTGGAGCCAAGATAACCTACATAAATTCAAACCGAAAAGGGCTCACCTGTAATAAATCGAACGGGCTATACCATTTAATATTCGTTCATTTTTAATTCGATGTTCGGCCAATAAACGTTCAATAGTTGAAAATGAATAACGAAATTCAATATCTTGGTCAGTTTTAGGTGTTTTTGTTGACCATTTTGGTATCACATGCATTGATGAATTTTGAATTATTATTTCATATAATTGTGGTCGATTAACTTCAAAACGCTTAAGAAATGGTTGAATATCCTTTGGCCAAAATTTCAATTGTAAACAAGGTACATGATCAGTTTCTTTTGCCATTTCTTGAATACCATACTTAAAATAATTCTTAAAAACTTTTGGACTACCTAAATGTTGATGTTTATCATAGAAATTAAGACTTAATTCAAGACGTTGTCGTAATATTTTTGGTAGACGATGATTGTAAGCTGGACCAGCTAGGTGAATAAAATCGTTAATATTATATTCATCGTCTTTTGTAATCACTGGTTCATATATTGGAAACCATGTTGTTAATATAAAGTCTCGAAATTGTGCACCAAATAATTTATATTTGTCTTTTATTTCCACAAAATTGAACTGTTGTTGTTGTTTTTCAATTACATTTAATATTTCCATAAATGATTGGTCAGTATTGATTGTATTTGAAAGTATTTTTCTAGCTGCACTTGCGGATTCCGAATTGGTTTCACCAATGATTGTCGATTCATTTAGTGGTGTTACGACTGGTTGTTCTGTTCTTGTTAGATTTTGTTTCATTTTTAAACCATTTAAACATGGTACACCATCTGAGTTATGTTTTACTTCAAATACAGATAATGCGCCCAAACGTGTAACACCATCAAATTGAATTTGTACAAAACCTGGTACAGATGTTGGTATTATGGTTTCTGGATCATGAATACAACCTTCAACAATCATTATATCAACATCTGGTACACGTCGATTATCAAAATGTTGAGCATACTGCTGTTGTTCAACAGTGCTACCACTAATGAATGATTGATGACCATCATGTATTATTGTTGGCGATGATGACGCCATGAACTGTTATTATAACTGAATGTAACAAGACATTTCTGCTGTCGCATATGGTGTTATATATTATAATCATATCTACCTTTTCTATCTGTTTATGACGTACATTGATATGAATCAGCTATTATTCAAGACATTAAAGACGAAATTAAAAAGATTCTTTTCTCTCTTATCAATCTTCAGTCGAAGTGAAAATGTTGGAAAAAACTAAGTGAAACTTTGATTTCGTCAAGGATAAATATGAGTCAGGTCTATAATGACACAATGATGACTTATTTTCTGAAAACAAAATTCAATGATTACAGAACAAAAGAATTCGAAAGGAACATAGTAGGCATGCAACGGTTACGGTTATTAACCGTTTAACCGTAACCGTAAATAACCGCTTCATAACAGCTCGTGTACTGATTGTAGAAAAATAAAGAATAATTTATTTGGAAAGAAAGAATAGTATATACAATCTTGTTTGGATTCTTTGAGCGAAAGTTGATTAAGATTATTTTGTATCCTACTACTAATGACACTGATTTCCGCGTGTACGTTAGTGACCATTTTTCTGCATTTTAAGTGCATTAGTGTGTCGTTCGCACAAACAAACGGCATCCATCGTTTATAGTCCATATAGAAAAATGACAAAATTGTCACTATATTATAATATAATAAATGAGATAAATGTGGGAGAGATATGATCTAAAAATGAGCCATATATGGTGCATAAATGAGTCATTTATGGCTCATTTTTCACGGCCTGGGTTACGGTTACGGTTAATCGTTCGACCGGTTATTCACGGTTACGGTTAACCGTTCGACCGGTGCATGCCTAGAACATAGTACCTTTTCTTAAGTAACGATACTTTAATGTGCATATTCAACAAAACAGACGACTTGTACCGGAAATTCCACTTTAACTATTACAATTTTCCTTACAAAATTTTTTACAAAATAAAAGTTTCGTTTTTCCCCTAATTAAATTATAAAGACAGTTTTTCTCTGTTCTCAAGAAAACCAATACATGATACAACAATACACGAAACAATGAACACCATATATTATATATTCTGGTATAGTTTCTTAATTTAGGAAGCGAAACATGCAGTAAGGAAGACATTGCTTTAAATAAGTGATTTCAGATATGATTTGTAGTTTTATATCTTACCACAATGATAAAAGGAAAACAAAATCATCAGTTTTGAAGAAAAACTCATAAAAAGCTATTACACAATGCAATATTGGCCCAGGCCAAAGTAAAATTCCATTTTGAACTATAGCTTTTTTCATTTGAAGTAGCATTTTTAAAACTACTTTTAGCGTTTTCATTTGAAAAAAACGCGTCTGAACGCATTATAAAAACACGCAAAAAGTCGAGCGAAAACATGTTCGATTAAAACAAAACGCGTTTCAACGTGTCTTTTTGTTTTAAATTTTTTCATGGGTTATCCTTCAGGGATTACTGATTTTCTCTAGCTGTTGAATATGTGGAGAAGTTTCGCCGCACGAAGAAGAACCAATTAGTTTAAAAGCGACTGGTCGTGAGGTCG